AAATTTTATGTACTTGATTATCCTGGTCCTTTCTTACCACAAACTCTATATTTCATTGCATTAAGAGAATTTTAAGTTGAATTCAATAATGCTTAATACAAATACCAGAAATAATATCTTTTAATCCTGAAAGTCTCTGTTGGATCAGCATAATCAACATGAGGATCTAATTTATATTCTCTAATAACTTAAAGTAAATCATCCACTGCTCTTTCTACTTCCAAATTCTTACTCATCAAATAATCTGTCTTTGTCTTTATATATTCTTCTTATAGGTTAACAAATTAATCTAAAGTTAAAGGCTTACTCTCTTATGGTAAATGTACTAATAACACTTTACTGATATTTTTCAAATTGTTTTCAATTCTATTCTCAATAATATCATTGATTGTAATAATCAATTACTCCAATTTATTTAAGCCTGCATGAACACTTTATAAGTAACTATCAATATTCATTGAAGTCCAAGTCAAGGTAACCATACCAGGTCTTAATTTCAATTCTAAATCTTCAACATGTGGACCTATCAATGTTTTACATATTGGTTTTATTTTAGATATAATTCTTTCATATTCTTTCAATACATAAAGCAATTCATTGTAATACATCTTAAATTTATCCTCTTATAAAAGAATGATTCTTGCACTCTCTGGTATTTCAATTCCTTATCTATCTAATACTTTAGCTTCTCTTATTAATTGCATTATTTCAACATCAAAATTTACATATAATTTTTTGTTTTCATCATGTCTTACAATCAAAGTAGCTTATAATGCAGCTTTACTTCTTTCAATTTCATTTGACCAATTCTAATAATACCACATTTCATAAATTGTTAATTATTTACCTAATGTATTGTATCCACCATAATATTTCTTCAATTCTCCTTAATCTATTGCATTTTCAGGGAATTTTGTAATTGGTCCTGTAATTTTCAAAAATAGATGTCTAGCCCAAATAATCTTTCCAGCTTCAGGTGGAATATTTCTTACTATTGGAGGACTTGATTTTTGATCTGTAAAGATACGTTAAATCTTATCCAATTCTGTTGCATAATTATGCAATATTGTGTTATATTTAGAAACCAATGAATTCTTCAATTAATCTCTCTTTATTGTTTATTCAAACTTTTTTAATAATTTAAGAGAATATTCAATAGTTCTTAATCTATTGAAATTATTATCAATAAATGATTATAATTGCATATCTAAATGAGATATTTCAACATTGAATTCAACCCAATCTCTATCAAATTTGTTGCTATTTGTATCCAACAAATCATGATTTTTTGCTTTGAAATCTTTAATAATTTAATTAAATTTAGCTGTAAGTTATTCCATACCTTCTAAGTTATGTTTTGCAAGAGCCTAGAATTATTAAATGTTCTAAAATATGTCAATCAATTTAACTAATCTTCTGACAAAAGTATCAAATTTACCAAATATTTAGGTTTCTGGGAAATCAAATGTTTTTCCTTTTGGCATATCAGCAACTTTTTCTTTTGTTTCTTTATAACTATCTTTGTATTCTCTATTGAGTTAAATACATTATCTCAAGACTTCATTTAATTCAGATGGATCTCTATTCCAAATATCTTGGTTCTTTCCTCCATTTAAGATTCTCTCTTTACAATTCTTAATCATTTGATTAGTAATTTTAACAAATAAACCAGTCATTTTATCATTTGTATTATAAAAACGAGCAATCGTATGAATCATCTTAATTGCATTCATTAATGCTGGTAATGTATCAATAATTTATTAAGGAGTTCCTTTATATAATGGATCTAAGAACTTTTCTAAGGTTGATAAGTATTTCACATTGTCTTTGGCTTCATTTAATTTATCAGTAAGTAAAAGATCAAGTCTACTATACTCCATAATAAGTTTATTAATATTTTCTTCTCCTCTATTAGTTGATTTATCATGTTATTTATTTCTTTGTAATGTGGTTTTGACAGTAACAAAATCTTTGCCTTTTAATTATTCAGACCAATTTGTAATTTCTTACATTCTGGTTTTCCAATAATTTAATTCAACTTCTGGACCAGCATCTGGACTATCTTTTTTTGGATTTTAATCTTCTGCTAATTTATTATTGATAATAGCAATCCATTAAGCAAATTTTCTTTCATAAAATTAATTTCTTTCTTATTCATTATTTGAATTCACATATTTTTATACATCTTCTGGATCAAATTTGAATAACTCTTACCCTGGTCTCATTAATTTGACTGCTTCTGAAACTTCCTAAGAAAATTTCTTAGTGTGATTATGGAATTC